TGTGCTATTTCCTTCAGGTAATCATTTGAAATGCTTCCAATATTTAATAAAAATACATTTTTTTGTGGTAATAAAAAGTTATGTAGTTGGTAAACCCCAAGGGGTTGGCCTAGTGGCAAGGCCTTGCGTCTTGGGACTGTGCTTCCTCCGAGGTTCAAGGATCGAAATCGAAACCTCTTAGGTGCTAACAATTCCTTGGGGCCATCGGATTAGGGGAAAACCCTTGAATTGACTGCGGTGCACTTGCGGGAAACTCTTTGCCGAGGGCCTATGCACCCTTGGGGATTATTCAGGCTTTGATCTGGACACCTCAGTGCCAACCAAAAGAAAAAAGAAAAAGAAATGTAGTTGGTGATTTGGTATGGCTGATTCTTGTAAATTGCAAGTGTTAGTTGAATATTTACATGATCTAATTGTGGCTCAATTTCTGCATACAATTTAAATTTTTTTAGGTAAGTGTGTTTTCGATGCTTGTGGAGATTAATGGCACACACTAACAAGAAAGATGTTCTCATTGCGGGCTGCACTGAGCGCTTGTTTGTTACTGATGACATGTACTGTGTTGACAATGGGGCAATGATTGTGTATACTGGTCTCTTAGCTTATGCTAATGGGATGTCAATTCCACTGGAGGAATCAACATTCACACAGCGGTTCAAAACTGATGAAGTACTGGCAATCTGGAGAGAGAGAAAAAGGATTCTTCAAATGGTCTCATGGAAAAAAGTGTCTAGTTACCTACATGTTTCAAGGTATGTGTTTTCTATTCTTTTCCTATCTTTTTTTGCAAGATCATGGATTAGTTGCTTCCTAATTTTATAGCAGGTATGAGGCCCTTCAGCAAATGATAAAACTGTCAAGCTGTGGACAAATCCATGGCCAATTTAATATTTTAAGGCAATTTGGTTCTCTACCTATCTGCATGGAAGTTCCTGTGTAGTGAAAATCAATTGTGGATCGGAAATATTTAGTTATTTTTACTTTGTGGAGCCAGCTTTGTATTTATATGCTTTTTGGGAACTAGGCAGGAGCAGGGTTGGGATTTCACGTTCTGAAGTGCTTGGGTTTTCATGTTAGGAGGTTTGGGAGTTAAGCGAGGGTTTCAAGCCATTTATGTAGTTATATACAACAGTGTTTTTTTTAAAAGAAATGTGTTTCTATGTATCAGTATTCCGTACTCATCGAAAGGTTTTTGGAGACCCATCGAAGTGCAAAAGCCAGAAATTAAAATGAGAAAGTAGATGAATGTCGAGAATTTTTTTGATAAAACTAATTCTAAGAGGAATAAGTTGTTTTTTCATATATAGTAGTAGTTATACAGCATCCATTCTTCCTCAACTTGGAATTATGCAAGTAGGTTCAATTTTAATTTTCTTGTTATTTAGTTGTTTTCTTTCCTTGCTCTATTTTTCTACTATTCTTGTCCTATTTGTTTCCTATTTTAAATTTAAACCATAAGCCATGATCTTGTTACTTACTATGTTTAATTTTTTGTTTATGCGTCATGTGTTGGTAATGCTTGGGAGAACAGGATTTAGAGTGGTTCTTTCCAGGGCGTTACATTATCTATTAATTTTCAATAGGATTGCATTGGGGCAATCGATAAAACACACATCAAAGCATATATTTCTCCAGATAAACAACCCCACTTAATAGGTAGAAAAGGGGTATGCGACACAAAACATAATAGCCGCATGTGACTTTGATATGTGTTTCACATTTTTGCTTGCCAGGATGGGAAGGAAGTGCACACGATACTCGAATATTCTTGGATACAATTAGGAACCCTAGCTGTAATTTCTCAAAATCACAAGGAGGTAATAATGTATTTTTATAATTGTTTGCTATAGTAGATACCTGACACTCACATCTTTATATATATATATATATATATATTTATTATAAGTTGCTTTAATTAATTTCATTTTGGGTATCATGTAGATGAGTTTTACTTTGGTGGATCTGGATATCCTAATATAAAGGGATATCTTGCACCCTATAAGAGAAAGATACCATTTAGCTAATTTCAAATTGGTCAACCTCCCCTAAATGCACAGAGATATTCAATCAAACACATTCATGACTTAGAAGTGTAATAGAAAAGAACATTTGGGTTTGGACATCAAGATGACCGATGATGAAGGATATCCCACCAAAACTATGGGTGGCGACTCGAGTAAAATTTGTTTGTGCAACAATGACAATTCACAATTTATCAAAACGAAATAAACTACGAAGACATCCCATTTGAATCTTATGATAAATTCAGTGATTATGTGCCTATTGATGAAGGAAGGTCAATGTCACAAGAGCCATGCCATGGAAATCATATTCAATCTAATGACAACGATATGGAATAAGGAGACGTAATATTGTATGTCAATTTGTAGAGCAAACTAGCAAAATTGCTTATTGTTATAGTTGGTGCACGTGCACTTTTGTTAGGGCCTAGTCTTTTATTTTTATTTTTTTTTCCTTGTACCCAAAAAAAAAAAAAAAAAACAAAAACAAAACAAAACAAAACGTTCAAATGGAATTGTAATGAAGTGTGTCAATATATATACTAATTTTATGTATTAATTTATAAAATAACTTTTTAAAAAATAAAATTGAAGAAAAAAAAATACAAATTTTACATTTTATAAGGGCAAAAGGGACAATTACACAGCAAAAAACTATTTTATAACTTATTTAACCAAACACTACTTTACTACTTAAATTCATAATCTTACAGTTATACCAAACAGATTAACAACTTTTCTTTAAAGTTAAAATTTATAATCTGTTAAATTATAATTTATAATTACTTGCTCACAACTGCACCAAACAGGGTCTATATGTAGATAATAAAAAAAAAATTTAAGGGATTAAAAAAAAAATTACAACTATATGGGATGAAAGTGTATATGCGATGGAATACAAATGAAATGTTGTGGATGTACAAGTTGCATCCCCATATGCTACTAATTTTTTTTTCTTTCTCCAAGCTATATGTAATTCTCCCAAACAGTAATATGAAATGAGATATGGCAATGTCAGTTGCAGCTGCAATAATCATTAGTAAAATTATATATAAAAAAGATTAAAATAAAGTAGAAAAGAAAGGTACAAAAAGGTATATGAATAACCCAAGGATGGGTGGCATTGTGGTTAAGGTTTGGGGTTTAAGCCCTAAGGTCACAAGTTCAATTCCTTTTTCCTTGGGCCAATCTATTGGACGAAGCACAGTTGGTTAGGAGGTTGGACCTCAAGTTGTCTAACCCTGGTGATCTAGGGGCGCTGCCTTGAACCTGCAGGAAGGTAGGGAGGATTTTCCTGTAACCAAAAAAAAAAAGAAAAAAAAAGGAAGGTATATGAACACATATTCACGGTAGTTTTTGTTATAATTTATAAGGTATTTTTTTTATTTATTATAAAAATATGTAAAAATAAAAAAAATAAAAAAATAAATGATGTGATCTTAATAAATTAATAAGTTTATAAATCAACTTTTTTAAATATTGTTAAAAGAGATGTAAGAACATATTCAATGTTTACTCTTTTTTTTTAATATTAAATTTGAGTAAAAATTTCATTTGATACTGAGCCTCCGTTTGGGAAGTGGGTTGACTTTTTGACTTTTTGGCTTTTTTGACTATATGAGCCTGGGCTCAAAAGCTTAGTTTGGGAAGGGCTTTTGGCTTTTTGGCTTTTTTGATTTTTTTGTAAGAGAAGAGTGTAATGATTATGGGGTTGGATGGGATGTTTTGTCTGTTGTGGCTCATAAGCCTATTCTGTCTTTTATGGCTCATTGAACCAAAAAAGCCCAATGAGCCCTTGCCAAACCAACCCTGAATGTTCTAACAGGAATTTTTTTTATTTTCATCAAACCACCGATTGACCGAAAAGACGACCGGGCAGATATCTAGATGGTCGATTGGTTTGTGTAAACTGACCAAAACTTCTTCCCAGAATATTGGTCAGTTATGGGTAATTTTACAAGGAAGTTGTTTGGAAAGATAACTGGTCGATCGTCTGGTGTACTTATAACGCTGACGACTACCTGCAATACCAACGATTACATGTAATAATTTGATGAAACGCTGAAAGCATTCTCAATTTAATATGAGTTTGACATTACGATTAGAGTATCAAATTTGAACTTATTTCATTAAACTTAAATTTAAAAATAAAAAATAATAAGGCCTCGTTTGGCAAGTGGCTGTTTTAACTTAAAAGTTAAAAAGTTACTAAAAAAATTAAAAAACTAACAGCTTATATCAAAAAGTCAAAAAAAAAAATTTCCTCTACTTTTTACATATCTTTTGTAAAAAGTTAAAAAATTATTTTAAATATGTTTTTTTTTTTTACCTCATATTTTAATTAAAAAATAAAAAAAAATTACTAAAAAACCATATTCCTAAACGAATCATGGAAGAGGGTTTAAATTATACAACCCTAGTAGACTACTAATATTATTAAGCAGGTAAGGCAAAGCTTTGGTAGGCTTTATACATAGAGTCAAGAGCCTCTCCTTGCAAGTTTGTGCTTGCGTCCGTCCTTGCAGGTTTTCGGGTCTACTTTTAGACCTAATTTTGATAATTCGAACCGTTTATATTTTATAATTTATTCAGTATATCATACCTGTAAAAAATCAAGTTGATCGGATATCAGAAAGTATGTGTTTGAAAAATTGAACTAAACACTATTTTTTAAAGAATTTAATAAACAGTTTTCCGAACATATGCTTTATGATATCCGATCAACTTGATTTTTTACAGGTATGATATACTGAATAAATCATAAAATATGAACAGTTCGGATTATCAAAATTGGACCTAAAAGTAGACCCGAAAACCTGCAAGAACGGACGCAAACACGAAAGCTGCAAGGAGAGGATCCTCACTCTTATACATAAGCAAAGTTAGTAAACAAGTATTTAGGTGGAATATATATATTTTTCACAGTAGCGGTGGTTAATCATCAACAACGCTTCTTTTTATGCAGGCGTGGGTATAAATGCAGGACCTTTGCTCCCATTTCTTGTTATTTCTTTCTCTCTACTGATCTTCAGAAGAAGTTATTTTTGATCTGTTTCTCTCTCAATCTTTATTTCGAGGTTGTTTTTCTCTTGGAGGCATAAAAAAATTGACAGTACATATCAGTTGACGGAGCTAAAAGATAGGAGTTTTGAACTTTGAACGAAGCCCCCAAATTCAATAAAAGTACTCATCAGTGAAAAGCTTCAAAATGGAAGACACAGTACCAAAAGTAGCGTAGAATCTGAAATGGGTATCTTTCTCTTCCCACTTTTAGCTCTCTCTCTCTCTCTCTCTGAGAGCTGGGGGGGTCTGTTACTCTGACTAGGGTTTTTATTGCAGTGTTTGAATGCGTAATTATGATGATGAAATCAATGATTAGGGCCTAATTGATTGCCTTCTGGACACTTTCATGAGCTCTTTACCGAACTGGGTTTGTGTTTTCTTAGTCATTGGGGGCTTCGTTTGTGTAATTTGGGTACATATTCAGTGATACCTTTCGAAATAGCAGTGGTTGTATAATTGTGTGATCTTTGCTACATATTTTGGTGGTACTTGTGTATTTATTTATTTGTTTATTTAATGCTTCAGAATTTTCTTCTTCAAGCTCGTGAATTGATGTGGTTCATTCCTCTGACTACTTGGTAGCTGTTTTCTGTGTATCTAGTTTAGACAACTTTGCATAGTTTCTTAGTTTTATGGTGTTTTTTTGCTGAGCTTCTAAACAAAAATAATAATAAAAAAAAAATCTGTGTTCACTGTTGCCATTGCATTTTCTGTTTCTTTGAAAAATTTCGGTTTTGACTGAAACATGTTTGTGAAATTGTTGCAATGAATATGGGTTGATATGGTTGTAAATGTTGTCTTTCACTTCTCCATTTTTTCTAGGTCATTGATCTTGTTGAGGCTATTGAGGAATTAGGGCATATGGGGGCTCCAGTTTTGTAGTTTCAATTTGCATAGCTTATTTTTCGGGTTCAACCCGTAATCAAGTTATCTCTTCTTTGTTGGGGAGAAATGGATATGGGTGGGAAGGATAATTTTGAGCAAGACAAACGGAATGAAGATCATCTTATGAGCTACCATTCGGCCAATGCGGCCTCGGACTGGCGATTTGGTGTGTCCAATCTCTCAATTCCCACTAGCAATCCCATGGAAGTTTGTAAAGGAGGTATAATGGTGTCTCCTTCCTGTTCCTCTGCCCCTATTATGGAAGCATTCTGCCCAATAGTTTGGGACCACCCCACAAATGCCCAAAACTTGGGTTTCTGTGACATTAATTTGCAGAATAGTGCTAGCACTTCAAACACGCTGGGACTTAGGAAAGGTCCTCTGGGTCCTTTGAGTATTGAGAAAACAATTGATATGGTTTGGACACCACCAAATTCAATAGTGAAAGGGGGTATTTGTTTACCATCTGCTCCTGGAATGCTTCCTCAGAGCTTATCTCAGTTTCCTGCAAATTCTGGTTTCATTGAGCGGGCAGCGAGGTTCTCGTGCTTCAGTGGGGGGAATTTTAGTGAGATGATGAACCCTTTTGGTATTTCTGAATCTATGAACCCTTATACTAGTGGTGCAGCAACAATGCAGCGACGACAACAAGAGATGTTTGTAGGAAATGGGTTGAAATCTGTATCTGGTGGGCAATCCCAGAAAAATGAGGTGAACATGATCGCTGAAGCTTCCAAAGCTGTTTCCTTTTCTGTTGAGCAAGGTGCTATTGAAGGGAGCCCACTCAAGAATGAGAGAAAGAGCGAGAACTTTGTGCGATCTCAAGATGAAGCTAAACAAGATGTTGGTGTGTCTGGTAAGGAGTCTGATGATCAAGCCGAAGTTAGTGGTGGTGGTGGTGGTCAAGAGGACCCATCTAGGGAACCTTCAGCCAAAGGACTTGGGTTAAAGAAAAGAAAAAGAAGTAGTCAAGTAAGCCACTTTTACAGTTGTTTTTTGCTTGATCAATAAGAAATGCTTTAAATTAACTTTTTTGGAACGTTTATTTTTTGTTTTATATGGTAGGATAATGAACTTGATGAAGTCAAGGAAGCCTCGCAACCACCTGGTGAAACTACAAAGGATAGCATTGAAATTCAACAGAAGGGTAATCAAACCCGAACTTCAATGACCATCAAGCCTAGTGGAAAACATGGTAAACATGGGTCTCAAGCTTCGGATTCACCAAAAGAAGAGTACATACATGTTAGAGCACGGAGAGGCCAGGCAACAAACAGTCACAGTCTTGCAGAAAGAGTAAGACTTTTTGTGATTCTACAAATCAGCTAGAGCAAACATTTTATCTTAGTCTTTGTTTGAGTTGATTGATTTGAATGACAGGTTAGAAGGGAAAAGATTAGTGAAAGGATGAAGGTTCTTCAGGACATTGTACCTGGTTGCAGCATGGTACGTTTGTTGGAGTCAAATAGCTTGTTTGTTGGAGTCGAATAGTTTACTGTGTACAACTAAGTTGAATTCTCAGTAAAGTATTGTTATTAGTTATTACAGTTCATTTCATGCGGATTGATTGGATTTTCCCCCCAGGTAACGGGCAAGGCAGTTATGCTTGATGAAATTATTAACTATGTGCAATCACTACAACAGCAGGTCGAGGTATGCTAATTATAATGTTTATCTTTTTTTCATTTCTGCCTTTTAACTTTTTAATTTCATACGTTGTTATTGACTTGACTGTCTCAGCCGTTTGTGCAACTATCGAATTCCTGGTTTAGATACTAGAACTCCTTCACTTTCTTCTGCTCATTTATGTTTTGACACTGATCATTGAATAGAGCAGTGAAAAAGCTTTCAGCATGTTCTCCATAGAGGCGCTTCTCTCTCTCTCTCTCTCCCCTTTTTAGTGTAAAGTTAAATAATGCATCAGTGTTTTACAAAATCGGATACTCCATTGTTTGGGTACTCATTAATAAGGGGACTTACGTGTAGGTGGACTTATTGTCCAATAGATCTTATGATAATTAATCGCGTTTTTCATCAAACCCTATTAAAAAATGTCACTAATTGTTGATTTTCAGTGATAATTTGAAAATTTTGTTACAAAAAAGTCACTAATTATAAGTTTTAGCGACAACTTAAAAAATCGTCACAAAAAAAGGTCACTAATTTTTGACTTTCTGCGACAGTTTAAAAAATTCGTTACAGAAAAACGTCACTAATTGTAAGTTTTAGCGATAATTTATAAAAAATTGTGATAAAAAAAAAAGTTACTACTTGTCAATTTTTAGATACATATGCAAAAAATTGTTACAAAAAATTATTTTTAACAACAATTTTACTAGGACTTATTTTCAATAAGACTTTATTGGAATTAAGTCCAACTATTAAAACCAATTGGTAGTTTACCCTTTAACATTATCTGGGAAATTACCAACAAAAAAAAAAGGGTTTGACCTGGTAACAAATAAAACCTTGATTTTTTAATTTCTTCAATTTAAATCTGAACTTTTAAGATTGTATCAATTCTAACCATCCGTCTATAATCCGTATCTAGTCTAACGGTAGAAAATTTTTGCTTACATGTGGCTCTCACTCATTCATTCTTTAACATACTGTCAATTCCAACTTTCACCTTAACCACACCAAAATACAATCACTTTTGATCAAGAATCCACTATCAATGTAATCATCCATCATAATCTTACTATGCACTAGAGCACAGTGGATTAAATTAAATCTCTATACAGCTTCTCCATCAACAGTATAGTTGAAAATCCACCACCACCCGCCACCCACCACTGCCCCTCCATCTCGCCCAATCACTGGAACCCCTCCCATTCCCCAGTCCACATTGCCCCTTCTTCCCCAACCACCATCTCCCTCCCTTTCCCAGCCACCCCCACCACTTGCTCCACACTCCACAATAGCACAAACACAAACACAAACACAAACACATACACAATGGCACAACAATGGATCTAGGGTTCTGGCGTCATTGGAGCTGTGGGAACCAGTGGAGCAATGGCAGGTTGTAAACTCACCCACAAATGGTGAGCTATAGATCGACCCACCAACGACGAGCTGGAAATCAACCCACCATGAAGCCCCAGTGCACAAAGCCACCTCCGACCTCCAATCGGTTGTAATTTTTTGGATATGTGTGCGATTTGTTGCTCGTGGCAGTGGTATTTGTAGATCAAAGATTCAAATACTGTTGCCGAAGAAAGTTATTATAGCTGCTGGTTCAAAATTCAAAGGCAAAATTGCATAGATCAGAGAGAGTGGGGTTGGTGTTAGCAAGGGAAGGAAATGTAAAAAGGGAGTGAGGATGGTGCCCAGAAGGAAAGGAAAGAGAACAGAGGGAGTGTTGCTGGGAAGGGAAGGGCTCTTTGTTGCCTCTCCAGTCATTTGCTATTCAAGTTTATTTTGATGTTCGATAGTGTGAATTGAGTTTGTGTTAATTATGCAATAAAGTTTTTGTTGTTGATCAAAAAAAGTTTGTGTTAATTATGGGTATTGTCAATTGGGTTTGGTTTCACTCTGGTTTTTGTGAATTGGGTTTGTTTAGATTTTGGGAATTGTCGATTTATGTTTTTCCAAGTTTGAATATCAGGAACAATTTATTTGCAGATAGCTTACTGTGGATTGTTCTTAATTCATGTGTAAATAATGCTCTGACTTCTCAAATTGTGGCACTGGTGCTGAGAAAGTGGAAGGATGGGCACTGCCTAAGAAGTACGGACACTTCTAAGAAGGTGACATATTTGTGTCATGTCTGTGTCGGACACCGACACTCTTTGGACACTCTTAGGACACGTGTCTTACACTCTTCAAAACGTGTCCTATTTTTAAAAAAATTTTAAAGACCCGGACATTCTTTGGACACTTGGAGGATACACGTGTCAATCACTTAAACACACGTGTCTATTGATTAGACATATGTAAAACTAATTATAAATTTGAACAAAATAACTTAAAATACAATAATAAAACAAAACCCATATAAATTTATAGGAATTACTGTCATATTGCATTTTTTTATTAGCTTTGAATGATATATTTATATATATAATATATAATAAATATATAAAATTGTATATTTCATGCGTTTTCTCCACGTGTCGTGTCTTGTATTTTTTGAAAATTAACGTTTCAGTGTGTCCATGTCGTGTCACGTGTATGTGTCCATGCTTTTTAGGGTACTGCTGGGGAGGGGAGATGGTGAGAGGTGCTGGGAAGAGGATGAAGGGGAATGAGGGGGTGGTGCTGGGAAGGGAAGGGCAGGGAAGGGAATGGAGGGGGGTGGTGCTGGTGCTGAGAAGGGGAGGGAGGGGTGGTATGTATATGTACATGTGTATATATATATAATACATGTATTTATATATGTATAATTATGATAGGTAAATTGACGGACTTATCCCTCTTGGTTACTGTCTTTAAACTGAGATTGACGGAGAGTTAAAATTGGGATTAATTTGGAAGTTCATCAGGGTTTAAATTGAAGAAATTAAGAATTCAGAGTTTCATTTGTTACCAGGTCAAACCCTAGGGTTTGTTTTTTGTAATTTCCCCTATATTATCTGCTGTACTGTTAAGAAAAAATTAATTCCCATAATTGCTACCCATGGTTATGAAATTGTGTCCTTTTGATGGGCTAATGGTTAATATATGTAACATTTTCTCTCTTTCAGTTTCTGTCAATGAAGCTTGCAACAGTTAATCCATGCCTGGACTTTAACCTTGAAGGGATCCTCACAAAAGATGTAAGTAACCATGTACCTTCATCTAAGAAGCACAAACACGGACACGGATTTTGATACGGACACGGACACGTACACAAGACATAGGTTTTGAAATGATATAAGAGACATTTATTTATACGAGGGTCTATTTTATTTTTTATTTTTTATATTTTCCACTTTTCTTCTTATCTGTTTCTATATATTTTACTTTGACCTTAAATCAATTTCCTAAAATTCAAAAACAATAAATAAAAAAATCTCATAGAGGTATCCTGGGTGTGTCTAAACATGGGACAGTGTGTCCATGAAGTGTTCTTAACATGTCTTGCAAAATATATATATTTAAAAAATTTACACCCCATGTGGTGTGTCCAACATATGGACACATGTCCACGGCATGTTGTCTGATACTTCTCAGACACGGACACAACACAGCACTCCTTTTGAAGTTTCCGTGCTTCGTAGACCTTTACAATCTAGACAGTAGAATGCAAATTGTTGTGTTTTTACGTTTCGGTGCCTCTTCCGACCCTCAGAAAATTCATTCTTCATTTCAGATGCTTCAGTCACGAGCTGGTCCTTCATCAACACTAGGTTATTCACTAGATTTAACTATGCCCTTTCCTTCACTGCATCCACCTCAACCAGGATTGATCCAAGCAGGCCTCCCTGGTATGCCAAACACATCAGGTGCACTTCAGAGATCCATTAATACTCATTTGACAGCCATTAGTGGAGGATGTAAGGAGCCTACCCAGGTAAATTTTTTCAGACGTTTATTTGTTTTCAGGCCTCAAACTTGTGTTGTGCTTTTCCATGCTTATGTTGTGCTCTTGCATGAAATACTATGCAATGGTTCTCTTATTTAAATTTGGTTTTTGTCTTTTTTGACCATTTAGTTGTGTCAATATTTCACAAGATTCGAAGCTAGCTTATACCATGCTAAGGCGGTGATAATGGTACAAATTAATCCAAGGAAAATTAGAATAATTTGCTCCTCTGCCCTGTCCTTTCTAAAATTTTCTGCTTTGGCATGTAGCTTGGCTGCATTTTTCTGTTTTCATTATGATGAAATTTGTGATTTCAATTTAATCGCCGGAGTTCCTCTTTTTTAATGTGTTTGTGTACCAGGTAGCGAATATGTGGGGGGAGGATGAGCTTCACAATGTTGTCCAGATGGGCTTCAATTCCAGTGCTCCCCTCGACAGCCAAGATTTAAATGGTATATGACAAATCAATTCTCCCACACTAACCTCTACAGAGAGGCGGTCCAAAGAGTTTAAGAGTTAACCTCTCTTTGCATTTGCAGGATCTTTGCCATTAGACCATATGAAAGTTGAACTTTAAGTTATCTTCAGTTCTTGATGCCCGGGCTATATATGTTGCTTTTGAGACATCAGGGATAATCACCATTTTCCTACTTCAAAATGTGCATGTTATTGACATATCACTGGGTTTTTGCTGGAGCTCCGGTGGGTGATCTGTTACACAGCCAATTCTCAGATATCTGATGCTGTGCCAGCCCCCCTTGTTTATCAAAATAGAAGTTCATCAAAAGAGAATTGCACTGTGGTTGAGAGAATTTGTGGATCAAAAAGGTGTAGTAGATTACTGAACAATACCATTGGCTGGTATGTGTTGCAGAGGAATCTCAACTGTAGTAGTTGGGTTTGATCTTGTACGCATTTTGCTGGGTTGGGTTTCAAACGAGATTGGAGTTGAAACCATAAAGATGTACTTGTTGAATTTGTGAAGTGAGAAGTTAGAAAGTTATATATGTTAAATATATATATTGATCAATGAAGATGAAATGTCATTCCTGTTCTGAAATTCCTTTCTAGGAGTATTATGACTTAATTATTATTTTGGGTACTACGTTTCTAGGATAAATTATGTTCTAATCTTTGCTGACTGTGTGGTATATCACTGCAACTGAGCAGGTCATGAATATTTTATTTGTTTATGTATTGTTTCATTAATCCATAATGTGAAGATCTCTCTCATTTAGGCCATTAAAGTCCATCTTCCAATTCCCATAAAAAAAAAAAAAGAAAAAAAAAAAAGAAAAAAAAAAAGAAGAAGAAGAAGAAAGAGAGAGAGAGTCCATCTTCCAATTCTTGAATGAAACTATTGCAAAATGCCTCTCCTAAAAAGAATAGGCCCTAGTTTTAAATTTGATCAAAATTGGAGTGGCCCAGGTTGTTCAATGGCTGTTAGAGCATCATTCGTTAAAAAGTTTAGAGCTTGTCTCTGCAGATGTACGTGTATGTATACTTTTATTTTTCCTCCCTTTAACAGTGTAATGTGCTATTTGATAACCTAATTCAACATTCAAAATTAAATGTATTAATTGAAAATACATTAAACTCGTTTGATAATCATAATTAGTATCACTTCAAAAATAAGTGGCTCTAAAAATGTAAATTAAAATTAAAAAAAAAATATTAAGTGATAAGAAATCTATATAATTTTGGTTGAATTTATAAAATATTTATGCATACGTGTTGACATACATAATTATAACCTCGCTACCACCGCCATCACCACCACTACTTCTATTACCGCCACCGTCACCATCACCACAACCACAACACTGCTACAGCTACTGCCACCAGCACTACCTATCATCGTCACCACCACAACTACCACTGCCACCACCTCTTCACAACCACCACCACTACAACCACTATCACCATCATTGCTACCACCGCCGTAGCACTACTGTTGCCTCCATTACGCTACCACTGTAGGTAATGCCATCGCTTCCACAAACATCATGCCACCATTACAGCTCTTGTGACCACTATCACTATCACTATCACTATCACTATCACTACTTCCATCACCATTGTCATCATTATGTAGACACTATCATTATTTCACCACTTCCGCACCACCATTGCCGCCACTACCATTACGACCACCTCTCCAACCAATACAATTACCCTTCACCTTCATAACTATTGCCACCCTTGCCACAACCACCACCATCATTCTACCACCACAATCACCACCATGGTTATACCATCGTCACCACCCCATTTTACCTCCACTACATCGCCTAGTCACCACAACCACTACCTCTTTACTTTCATCACCATTGCCATTGTAAAAATTAGAAGTTATAATTTAAAAACAATAGACTTTAATTTGATCTTATATATATTAAATAATTTGTTTTAGTTCAACGCTTAATTTTTATTAAGCAATTTTTTAACTTAAAAAATTAGGAGCTGTTTGGTAACGTTTTTGTTTTCAGTTTTCAATTTATATTTACAAAAATTTAAAAAACAATTATAAAAACTTGTTTGATAATTTTTTTGAATTTATAAATGGTTCTCGTTGAGAAAAAATTGTAACCTCAAAAAATGAGTTTCCGTTAGTTTTTAAACAGAAAACAAAAGCCCAAAAACGCAGAGCTACAGTAAACGCGGAGCTACAGTAACACAGACCATGGTTCGAATCTACAGAGGAGCAATTTTCAATTTCCCAATTACAACGGTAATATATACGTTATCTCTAACTCGACTCATCTTTTTTCTTCACTTTGTTGTTCAAAGAATCCAGAAGAGAGAGAAAGGGAGAGGGGTACCATCGATCGAGGCCGGGGGAGTCACGATCGAGGCTAGAGGAGAAGGATCGAAGTCAGAGGAGAAGTATCGACGCCAGATCACGGCCAGAGGAGGATCGAACCTAGAGGAGTCACGATCGACGCCAGACAGCTCCCTCTCTGTCTCTCTCTCTACGAACAGCTCTCCTCTTTGTCTCTCTGTCTCTCTGTCTATGTAACAACTCTTGAATCTTTTTACAACTTCCAGCAAATAGGACCTTCTTCATCAAGGAAATTGAACCCTCACTTTGTTGGTGTTCTCTCACTCTCATTGTTTTCTTCTTCCTCTGTCTTTCTCTCTCGCTCTCCCTCATTCTCTCTCGGTTTTGTTTTTCTCTCTTTTTGTCTTTCTCAATTGTTCCAACAACTTCTCCTCCTTTTTGACTTCACTGATCCCTTTATTATTATTACTAGCGGCTGAGGCACATGGGATGCATGTGCAAATTCAGCAAAAAAAAATTATATTATTTTTTTATTATATTTTTTAATAATAATATACATATGAATTATATGTGTAATGTAATGCAAGCTAAATGTTTCTAACTATGTGTAATATAATATTTACTTATATTTTAAACAAAAAATATGAACAATATAATATACACAAATCTTTTAAAAATATACAATATTTCTTAATTTTTACCACCAAAATATATATATATATATATATATACACGTTATGAATTCATAAAATTTAATGAGAAACATCATGAAAAAAATTAAATATCTATTTTAATTTTAATACTTTATTATATATCATGAAAAAAAGAAAAATGAAAGAAATAAAAAGAATTGAGAGAGAACTTGGAAAGAAAGATCACCAAAAAAAAAAATTAAATTCTATTTTTTTAATTACTTTTGGTGTCCTCTTTGTTATCTATAAATTTATTTTTTATTTGCTGAATCAAATTTAAAACTATACTCATACATAATTTTTCAAGGTATCTTAAATTATTGTTTTTTCAATTGAAACCTTCTTATTATCAACAAATAATTTTTAATCAATAAGTATAAAAAAAAAAACAAATAATTGAACCTTATCTGATATAACAAATAAATTGAAATTTTAATTTTAATAACTTTTGGTGTCCTCCTTGTTATCTATAAAATTTTTTTTATTTTGCTGAATCAAATTTAAACTACACTCATACATAATTTTCAAGGTATCTTAAATTATTATTTTTTCAATTTTAATATTTGTTTGAAACCTTCTTATTATCTACAATAATTGTTAATCAATAAGTATAAAAAATAAACAATAAATTGAACCTTATCTGATATTACAAATTAAATTGAAATATATTTGTTACTCGTGCATAAACTTTTAGCTATCCTATATGGTTTCTGTTGTTAATTTAAAAATATTTTAAAATTTCCTTATCTTATAATATAATTCTTATTGAGAGAAATTGGAGAAAAAGTTTTAGGTAGTAATACATATCAAACACAAATAAGAGTTTGAGAGAAGGAGAATTGGTCAATCAAAATTGATATATCATATAAAAAATATAATAAATTAAAAAGAAATTGAGAAAGAGAAAAAAAATCAGTCAAAAAAAATTGAGAGAAAGAAATGGAAAAAAATAGTGGAGAATTGATTAGCGCAATGATATTTTATAATAAAAAAATACAATAAATAAAATAAAAAAGAATTGAGAAAGAAAAAGTTTCAGTCCAAAAAAATTGAGAGAAAGAACTGAAAAAAAAAAAGTGAAGAAATGGGGAAAAATCAACAATGCACAATCACTATCAAATTCCAATCATAAAAAAATTTCAGAAATTTTAACACACCAAGCATGAACTGAAAATTGGGAAAAAAAATATCAACAAACAGATCTATATCTATATATATTCAGACCCAACATGAACTGAAAAATATCAACCTGGAAAAAATATGAAATAATGATTCTTCATCAAAAATCAAACTAACAGACAAATATATACATTCACACCCATACATTTCTAGTAAGTTTTGGTTTGAAACAATGATTCTTTAAAATATTGTCATATTAAAATGCCTACTCAATGAAGGTGAAGGTTTTGAGTGAATGACAGTGAACTGAACAAGAAAACAAGAGAGGTGCAGGGGAAGGATTTTGAATCTTTGATTGTGACAAACAAAACCATTCTACTATCAGGTTTGGATATAGAAATGCTTACCAAATTAAAAAGGGAAGAAATGTGGTGGTGTTGTTGTTGTGCGGGGCGGTGGTGGAGGTGTGCTGTGTTGTGGGAGGAACGAGGAGGAGGAACACTCAGAGATGACAATATTCACAGAAGATGCGTATTCACAGAAGATATGGTACTATTGTGGGCTGATTGGGAGACGGTCGGAACTTTCAGCAGAGAACATACCAAGGAAGATGCGAGAAGTGCAAGAAGGAGATGTTGTAACTGCTTTAGACGTGGAGAGTGGGAAGTGAGATGGAATTTGGTGTTTGAATTTATTCCTTTTACCCCTAATAAAATTGATTAAGTGGTAAAAAGTTAAGTCATTTTTAGGAAAAATTTGAGAAAAGATTTTAGGCAGATGGCTTCATGACACCAAAATTGTGTTGGCTTTTAATAAATAGAATAATAATGAGATATTTTTTCTCCATCAACTAATCCATGTGATTGTTAGATGACTTATATATACTATATATAATATTATATATATTCTTTTATTAGGTTAGTTAAAAAATATAAATCATTTAAACCTAACAATTCATATTTCTAGTTTAATATTTTTTAAAAAAATTTTATGTATTTTGTCTTAACAAACGTGTTTATCATTTATATTTTTTTTAAAAATAAATAAAATTAAATTATAAAATTTTTTATAACATAAACAAAAAAACATAAACGGCTTACAAACGCTACTTGACATACAATTTTTAATACTTAATTTTCAACTATTCAGTTTTTTAATTTACCAAACACCCTCTTAGGGAACCATAAGCGCTGAATGATGCTGCACTGCACTGATCTTTTCTTGTTGCATTAAGCATTTTAGGTATCCAAATAACAAAATAAAAAATTAAATTCAAAAATATAAAAATTTACAAAAATTTTGATAATTTATTTGTTTATAACTTTTTGTGTGAAGAATTTTCAGTATTTTTTTTAAGAACAAGCATTGCTCATTTGCAATCCTTATTAACATTTTTTCTTTTCTTCTTTCTTTCTTACCTTTAGATGTCCCAAAAAAATCAGACGAGGTGGCTTTGTAGAGAGAAGAAAAGTTCTGCACCAATTAGGGTGGTTCGAGTCGGTAAGACTTCAA